CAAAGCCCCTCCCTCCCCAGCCAGGGCCCCGCCCCTTCACAGACCCTCCCTCTAAAGCCAGGGCCCCACCCCCAGCCCCTCGCTCCCCAGCCAGGGCCCCGCCCTCCCCGTTACCTTGAGCGGCTTGAGGGGCTCGGCACCGGCCCCTCCTTCGCCCCCCTCCTCGCCCCCCTTCTTGCCCCGCCCCCGCCCCCTACCCCGGGGCTTCTTGGCGCCGTCGGGGGGCAGGACGCCGTGGGGCTCGGCCAGGGGCCGGATGCGGGGCCGGCCGCGGGGCCGGGGGGGCCCGTCCCGCTTGGGCTTGGTGGGCTTGCGTCCCCGCTTCTTGGGGCCGTCGGCGGCGCTGTGGCGGGGGCAGAAGTCAATGTCGCCCATGGGGCTGAGGCTGGGCCGGGCCCGGCAGCTGGAGATGAGGTCGGGCAGCAGGTCGGGCAGGCGCCGGCTGTTGAGGCGGATGTCGGCCGGCACGTCGGCCTTGTCCTCGTCGTCCTGGAACTCGTATTCCTGGGCGTAGGCCTTCTTGGGGGGCTGGAACGGGGGGTCCCGCTTCTTGAGCAGGTGGAAGGAGGTGGTCTTTAGCAGCTTCTTGGGCTTGGAGGAGCAGAAGATGGGCGAGGTGAGGCCCGGCTTGGCCGCCCCCTCCGGCCCGCCGTGGCCCGCCTGGATCAGCCCCAGCGGCTCGGCGTTGACGGTGGAGGGCAGCTCGTGCTTGACCGGCTCCATGGCCAGGTGGGAGCCGTCCCCGCCCTCGCCGGGGCAGTAGCCCTGGTAGCCCTGGCCGGCCGGCAGCATGTCGTAGCCGCCGGCCCCCCCCTTCAGGCCCTCGGCCCGCTCCAGGCTGGGGGGCTCGTCCTCCCCGCAGCCCGGCTTGGGGAAGTCGTCGGGGCCGCACGCCCCCGGCCCGAACATGTCCTCCATGCCGGGGAAGAAGCTGCGGTCCTCGTCCTGCAGCAGCGAGTCGGGGAAGCAGATGGAGGTGAGGGGCACGAAGCGCTGCTTGGAGCCCTGTGGGCTGGGGCTCTCAAACTGGTCCTTGGCCTCCAGCCGGGCCTGGGGCACCTGCTGGGAGGAGTCGGGCTCCAGGCCAGCCCCGCCCTGGCCCAGGTGGGACTCCAGGCTCAGGTCGGGCTCCAGGAAGTCCTGGATCTCCTGGGACTGGCCCAGCACCTCCATGTTCTCAGCCTGCAGCTGGCCCTGGAGCTGGGGCGACTGCTGGGGGTCCAGGCCCTGCGAGCGGACGTGGGCTTGGTGCAGGTGAGCTTCCAGAGCCTGCAGCTGGAGCTGGGGCGAGGGGGGCTCGGCCGGGTGCAGGCGCTGCGGCTCCAGCAGGTGCACCTTGGCCCGGGAATGCAGCTGGCTCTGGGTGTGCGTCAGCACCGACTGCAGGAGCTGGGACTGTTGCTGCTGCTGCTGCTGCTGGGGGGGCAGGGAGAGCTGGGGCAGGTCGGGGGACGAGTCCAGCAGCAGCGGCGCCCCCTGCTGGCCGGGCAGCAGCTCCATGGGCGGGGGCTCGCCCACCATGCGGTGGGGCTGGGGGCCGTGCTCGGGGGTCTTCTGCAGGTAGGAGTGGGCCTGGCCCAGGTCCTTGGCCCCGGCTTGCAGGTGCTCCACCGACTTCTTCATGTCCTGGGCGTAGCTCTCCATGGAGCCGGCCTGGTGGCTGTAATGCACCACGGAGGTGGCGAGCGCTTCTGGGGTGGAGCGGGCGTGGGGCCGCTCCCCTTTCTTCTTCTCCTTCAGGCCCTGCAGAGACAGCTCCAGGCCCTGGCTGTCCAGGTTGGAGTTGGTGCGGATGACGCTCTGCAGGTGGTAGCGCTCCTCGGACTTGCTGAGCCCCCCGTAGGCCAGCCCCTTGGCCCCCCGCTCCTCGCACTGCACCAGCCCCTCGGCCGGCCCCCGGGGGGGCGGCGTCTGGGACTGCAACAGGTGCTGAATGAGGAAATCCTCGTCCTCCGCCCGCTCGGCCGCCAGCAGGTCCGACTCGGCCTTGGCCTTGCCGTAGGAGGCCGCTCGCTCCACGCCCGGGTAGCTCTGCCCGTGCGCCGGCTGCATGAAGGAAGGCGACAGCACCGACGTCAGGTACTTCTGGGACTGGCCGGGCGAGTTCACGCTCTGGGGCCGGGCGGCCGTGGGCGACTGCAGGGGCCGGCCGATCTGCGAGGGGCTGGAGTCGGGGAGGCTCTGCCCGTGGGCGTAGCCGATGGGCTGCGGGTGGCTGGGCATGGCGGGCGAGTGGCCGGTACTGTAGCTCAGCGAGGGGCTGGCGGTGGGCATGCCCTGGGAGTGGGCCGGCCCGTAGCTGGGCGTCTGGCTCACCGAGACGTGAGGCTCGGCCTGGACGCTGTAACCCACCGTCGACAGCCCCTGCAGTTGCTCCGGAGAGTAGGCCTGGCTCTGACTCACGCAGGGCTGCAGCCCCTGCCCGGCCTGCCCGCCCGGCTGGGCCTGCCCCGGGCCGTAGCTCTGGGCCTTGCTGACACTGGTCAGGTCCTGCGCCTGGCTGCCGCTGAACTGGGAGGCCTGGCTGACAGAGGAGAGGCTCTGGGGCTGGCTGACGGCGTAGCTCTGGGGCTGGCTCATGGACAGCAGGCTCTGGGGCTGGCCGGGCGAGTAGGCCTGGGACTGGCTGGCGATGACCGAGCTGGGCTTGGCGACGGAGACGGAGAAGCTGCTTTGGCACTTGGGGGTGGCGGTGGAGCGGGGGGTCTGGCGGGAGGCCGAGTAGCTCTTGGATTTGGAGGAGGAGCCGGCCGCCGCGCCCGAGTAGCCGGGCGACTGGATGATGGGCCGGTAGCTCTGCCCGGGCTCCTGGCGGGGGGCCTGCGGCGGCTTCTGGGAGCCCTCGGAGCCGGCGGGCGAGGGCTCGCCCAGCGGGCTGCAGGAGAGGCCGGCGCGGTGGGACATCTGCTGGTAGCTGCCCCCACAGCTCAGGTAGTGCTGCAGGGAGTGGGCGGCGGGCAACTGCGGCTGGGCGCTGGAGGGGCGCTGGTAGTGCTTGATGACGCTGTCCTGCCGGGGGATGGCCCGCTCCATGGAGGCGGCGGGCGAGCTGGAGAAGACGGAGGCGTTGTACAGCTGCGAGGACTGGTCCGAGGGCCCCAGGGAGGACGAAAGCAGGTTGAACTGGGAGGGCAGGTGGCGGGAGGCCGACTCCTGGGCACTGCGGTAGGCCGAGCTCTGGGAGGGCAGGCCGGTGCCCAGCACGGCGCTGCCCAGCCGGTCGAAGCTGAGGGAGGAGGGGACGCTGGCCTGGGAGGATTTGATGTGCAGCAGCGGGTCGTGCGGGGACAGGAGCCCGTTGGAGCTGGGGCTGAAGGCCGCGTCCTGCAGGCTGAGCGAGGAGCTGACCGGGAAGCTGCGCCCGCTGAAGGAGGCCGGGTGCTGGTAGGCCGACAGCGCCGAGGACGACGGGAAGGTGCCCGAGCCGGGGATGGCGCTCGAGAGGAAGATATCAGTCGGGGCCGGAGTGTGCATGGCTGGGGGGGAACGGAGGGGTCAGAGACGGGAGCGCCACCCGCCTGCCCCCACAGCCCCCGCCCGGGACAGGCCCCCTTGGGGAGATCTGGGTCCTACAGCGGGGCTGGGGATGGGGCTTGAAGCCAGTCCAAGCCCAGCTGGGGTGGGGCTTGAACAGAGGGCGGGGCTAAGGGGGGCAGCCCGGGCCTGGCTGGGGGGCGGGGCTAAGGGGGGCAGTCCGGGCCTGGCCGGGGGGCGGGGCTAAGGGGGGCAGCCCGGCCGGGGGGCGGGGCTAAGGCCTACAGTGGGGCATGCCCCGACCCTGCTGGAATGTCCTTGTACAGGCCCGCCCCCTGGGGGGGTCTCTCCCCACCCCCACGTACCTGTCTGCCAGGTGGGGGTGCGGAACTGAGAGAGCAGCGAGGAGGCCGAGGGGCCGGGCTGGGGGCCCCGCGACTCCAGCGCCGAGATGAGGTTCATGACGGAGGCATCGGGGTTGGCGCTGCTGGCATGATGGAGTCCCGAATCGAAGAGCCCCGACAGACCTGGGGGGGAGAGAGACAGTGAGGGGGGCACAGACAGACGGGGGCAGGGCAGATGGACAGGCGGGGGCAGGGCGGACAGACAGATGGGGGCAGGGCAGATGGACAAACAGGGGCAGGGCAGACGGGGGCAGAGACAGGGGAGACGGGACAGACAGACGGGGGCAAGGCAGACGGGGGCAGGGCAGACAGACAGAC